CCCGGTGCCGGGGTGTCCCCTCCTCCCTGTCCCCTCATTCCCAGGGTCCCATTCCCGGTGCCGGGGTGTCCCCGCGCCCGTCCCCAGCGGCTCACCGGGCGCAGGCGGCGGGGAGGCCGCGGCGGCGCCGGCGGCGGCTTTAAGGGCGCCGGGGCCCTGATGTCACCGGCCGCCGGTCCCGCTAATCCCGGCTAATCCCCCCCCGCCGCCAATTAATTCCCATCCGCGGGGGGGGGTGCGGATCCGGGCGGGAATGGGGTGCCGGGGGCCCCGGCATCCGGGCGCAGCCCTCGTTAGCGCTAACGAGGGTCTCGGGGCGCATGGGGGTCACGGGAGGAATGGATCTGGAGTGAGGGGATGGGAAAAGCTCCGGATCCCACGGGAGGGGATGGGAAAAGCTCCGGATCCCACGTGAGGGGACGGGAAAAGCTCCGGATCCCACGGGAGGGGATGGGAAAAGGCCACGGATCCCACGGGAGGGGATGGAAATGGCCCCAGATCCTGTGTAAGGGGATGGGAAAAGCTCTGGATCCCGCAGGAGGGGATGGGAAAAGCTCCGGATCTCACGGGAGGGGATGGGAAAAGGCTCCAGATCCCGCATGAGGGGATGGGAAAAGGCTCCAGATCCCGCGTGAGGGGATGGAAATTGTCCCGGATCTGGACCCAGGGGCTGGAAACGGCCCCGGCTCCGGCCCCGGCGGCTGGGAAGGGCTCCGGGGCTCCCGGGAAGCGGAGCGGCTCCGGGCCCTGCCCTCATTAGGTTGTTTTGGAGCCGGGAGGGATTTGGCGCCGATTGACCCTAATCCGCCGGCAGCGACAGCCCAGACGCCGCAGCCCACGTCCCGCATCCGCATCCCGGATCGTGGATCCGCATCCCGGACCCGCATCCTGGATCCCGTAGCCCAGACCCGTATCCTGGATCCTCATCCTGGATCCCACATCCTGGAGCCCGCACCCCAGATCCTGGATCCGCATCCTGGATCCCACATCCCACCTCCTTCCTCCCATATCCCGCCTCCTGCTTCCCATATCCCACCACCTTCCTCCCGTATCCCACCTCCCGTATCCCACCCATTCCCACCCAGCTCCAGGCCCCTCTCCCCATCCCGCATCCCGCCCCCCATCCCGGCGGGAGCGGCGCAGAGCCCCGGCCCCTTTCGCTCCGGGATTTTGGGGACCGGGGTGGGGGGGGTTCACAGGGGATCCCTCCCCGCGGCGCCACCGGGATCGCCCCCCTTTCCCGGCGGGAAGCGTGTCCGTGTGCGCCGGCGCAAACCCGGCTCCTAATCCCGCTTAAGGTGCCTACGGATCCGGGCGGGCGCCCGGCGCTAAATTTAATGTCCCCGTGTCAGGGCCAATCACGTCAGCGGCGAGCGCCGCTTCCGCAGGGAAAACACGGAGGTTTTTCCAGGGAAACCCTCCCCACGGCGCCAGGGAATGGTCCATGGGAGCGGGAAGGAGCAGGGAGCTTAAGGATGGGGAATGCATCGGGATGAGCGGCCGGGAATGCCGACGGAGCGGGGAATGGTCTATGGGAGCAGGAAGGAGCAGGGAGCTTAAGGATGGGGAATCCACTGGGATGAGGAGCTGGGAATGTCGACGGAGCGGGGAAGGAGCAGGGGAGCTGAAGGATGGGGAATCCGTTGGGATGAGCGGCCGGGAATGCCGATGGAGAAAGGAATGGGCCATGGGAGCGGGAAGGAGCAGGGAGCTGAAGGCTGGGGAATCCATTGGGATGAGGGGCCGGGAATGCCGACGGAATGGGGATGCGGCCGCAATGACGCTCCGGAGCCGCCGCCCGGCGCCGTCCACATTTACGGCCTTTATTCCCTCGCTCCGGCAATCCCGCCCCTTCCCGGGATCCCCACTCCCGGAGCGCGGGGCAAACAGCGGGAGGAAGCCCCAGGAAACGGGAAAACAGGAAAAACCCTGGAAAAGCGGCGGGCGAGCCCGGCGCACCAAATCACCAAAAGCTCCTTTTTTTGCCCCGTTTGAAGCGCCCGAATCCACTCAAGCGCTGTGCACAAAACCAGGCAGTCCAAAAACGTTCCCCCCTTGCGCTTTAGGGTTTTTTTTTGGAATTCTGAAAAAATTTGCAAATGGAAAAATCTGAAATCTGCAATTTTTTGTTGCAATTCTGCGGAATTCCTGCAATTCTGCCAAAAAAAGTAAGAAAAAAAAGAAAACAACCCCCCAAAATATGCAATCTGCATTGTTTGTTGCGATTCTGCAGAATTCCTGCAATTCTGCCAAAAAAAGTTTAAAAAAGAGAAAACAACCCCCCAAAATCTGCAATCTGCATTTTTTGTTGCGATTCTGCAGAATTCCTGCAATTCTGCCAAAAAAAGTTAAAAAAAAGAGAAAACAACCCCCAAAAATCTGCAATTTTTTGTTGCAATTCTGCAGAATTCCTGCAATTCTACCAAAAAAGGTAAAAAAAACCCCAACCCCCCCAAAATTTGCAACCTGCAGATTTTTTGTTGCAATTCTACCATTTTGCAGAACTCCTGCAATTCCGCCCAAAAAAGTAAAAAAAAAAAGACAGAAAACAACCCCCAAAAATCTGCAATTTTTTTTTGTTGCAATTCTGCAGAATTCCTGCAATTCTGCCAAAAAAAGGTAAAAAAAACCCAAATTTGCAACCTGCAGATTTTTTGCCGCAATACTCCCATTTTGCAGAATTCCTGCAATTCCGCCCAAAAAAAGTAAAAAAAAAACAGAAAACACCCCAAAAAGCGGTAAGTTTCCCGAGTTTCTTGCGTTTTTCTTTGCCTGTACGCCACAAAAAGAGGGAGAAAAAGGGACAAAAAGGGGCTGGCGCTTGCGGGGCGCGACGGAGGCCGGGGTGGCGGAGGCCGAGTCCCTGCGGGAGGAGGAGGAGGAGGAGGAGGAGGCCGGAGGAAGGCTAGGCGCGCTCCCCGCGGATGCGGCGCGCCAGCTGGATGTCCTTGGGCATGATGGTGACGCGCTTGGCGTGGATGGCGCACAGGTTGGTGTCCTCGAAGAGCCCCACCAGGTAGGCCTCGCTGGCCTCCTGCGGAGGCCCGGGGCGCCGCTCAGCACGGGAAGTGCCCCGGGAAGCGCCCGCGCGCCGGGAAGTGCCCCGGGAAGTGGCCCGGGAAGTGCCCGTGTCCTGGGAAGTGCCCGTGTCCCGAGAAGCGCCTCTGTCCCAGGAAGTGCCCCGGGAAGTGCCCGCGTCCTGGGAAGTGCCCGTGTCCCGAGAAGCGCCTCTGTCCCATGAAGTGCCCCGGGAAGTGCCCGTGTCCCGGGAAGTGCCCGTGTCCCGAGAAGCGCCTCTGTCCCAGGAAGTGCCCCAGGAAGTGCCCGTGTCCCGGGAAGTGCCCCGGGAAGTGCCCCAGGAAGTGCCCGTGTCCCGGGAAGTGCCCTGGGAAGTGCCCCAGGAAGTGCCCCAGGAAGTGCCCGTGTCCCGGGAAGTGCCCGTGTCCCGGGAAGTGCCCCAGGAAGTGCCCCAGGAAGTGCCCGTGTCCCAGGAAGTGCCCGTGTCCCAGGAAGTGCCCCAGGAAGTGCCCTGGGAAGTGTCCTGGGAAATGCCCGCGGCCCAGGAAGTGCCCATGTGCTGGGAAGTGCCCGCGTCCCGGGAAGCGCCCCAGGAAGTGCCCGTGTCCTGGGAAGTGCCCGTGTCCCGGGAAGCGCCTCTGTCCCGGGAAGCGCCCCGGGAATTGCCCACGGCCCAGGAAGTGCCCCAGGAAGCGCCCCTGTTCTGGGAAGTGCCCCAGGAAGTGCCCTGGGAAGTGCCCGCGGCCCAGGAAGTGCCCTGGGAAGTGTCCTGGGAAATGCCCGCAGCCCAGGAAGTGCCCATGTCCTGGGAAGTGCCCGTGTCCCGGGAAGCGCCCCAGGAAGTGCCCATGTCCTGGGAAGTGCCCTGGGAAGTGCCCTGGGAAGTGCCCGCAGCCCAGGAAGCGCCTCTGTCCCAGGAAGTGCCCCGGGAAGTGCCCCTGTCCCGGGAAGCGCCCTGGGAAGTGCCCGTGTCCCCAGAAGTGCCCCGGGAAGCGCCCCTGTCCCGGGAAGCGCCCCAGGAAGTGCCCGTGTCCCAGGAAGCACCTGCGTCCCGGGAAGGGCCCTGGGAAGCGCCCCGGGAAGTGCCCGTGTCCCGGGAAGCGCCCACGTCCCGCGAAGTGCCCCAGGAAGTGCCCGTGTCCCAGGAAACTCCCCGGGAAGCGCCTCGGGAAGCGCCCCCATCCCGGGAAGCGCCCCCATCCCAGGCAGCATCCCGCTCACCTGCAGCGCGCCGATGGCGGCGCTCTGGAAGCGCAGATCCGTCTTGAAGTCCTGGGCGATCTCCCGCACGAGGCGCTGGAACGGCAGCTTGCGGATCAGCAGCTCCGTGGATTTCTGGTACCGCCGGATCTCCCGCAGCGCCACGGTGCCCGGCCTGCAGGGAAGGGCGCACGTTAAGGCCGGAAATCCCGATTTTCCCCGTTTTTTTTTTGCGGAGCTGGCGGAATTCCTTTGTTTTTGTGGAATTCCGGCTGGGAAGCGGCCCGTTCCGCGCGGTACCTGTAGCGGTGGGGCTTCTTCACGCCGCCCGTGGACGGGGCGCTCTTGCGGGCCGCCTTGGTCGCGAGCTGCTTGCGCGGCGCCTTGCCGCCCGTGGATTTGCGGGCCGTCTGCTTGGTGCGGGCCATGGCGGCCGCTCCTCAGCGCTCACGGAGGCTGCCGGGGCTCGAAGCGCTGCGAGATCGGGGGGAAACGGCGCGGAGGGGCGGCCATGAGGAACGGGTGGCCGGGCGTCCCGCGCGCTCCCTCATGGCTGCGGACTACAAGTCCCAGCAGGCTCCGCGCGCGCGGGAGCCCCCCTCATTGGCCGCCCGCGCCCACGTGGCAGCGCTCCGCCAATCCGTTCGCAAGGCGGGCGGCAGCGCCGACGGCGCCGCCTTCCCCTCCGTGATTGACGCGCCCCGCGGCCTATCGCCTCGCAGAGAGCCGCTGCAGGCGCCGGCCAATCAGCGCCGCCGCCCCAACCCACCAATCAGCGCCCGGCCGCACACGGAAGGCGGGAC